TACGAAGTTGCTCTGCACTTCAGGGAGTGAGAGAAAGGTGACGCTCATTTATTTAAATCAGAGTTAGGTGAGTTTATTTCCTGAAATTGTACAGTAATGTTTTTTCATTAAACAGATTCCTTCTCCATTAGATTTAGATGACTGTGATGAGATGGGTAGCCTGGCTGGCTCAGAGGGTGGCAGCTGTCGTTCACTGCCTTCTGTTTTCACCTGAGGCAGGCAGAAATAGAATGTTCCAGGCTAAGGTAGACGAATGTCTCTGTGCACTTACCAAGTTCATTGTTAACAGAATTGATAAGAGAATCGATAAGTAATCGAATCGTTTTGCAGAATCGATAAGGGAATCGGAATCGTGAAAATCTTATCAATTCCCAACCCTAAGTACAACCCGACTAAATGGCCTGTACTTATATAGCGCTTTTTCAAGTCAGGAGACTTGACCAAAGCACTTTACACTACATTCAGTCATTCACCCACACACTGATGGTGGCAAGCTACATTGTAGCCACAGCTGCCCTGGGGCTCACTGACAGAAGCGGTGCTGCTGTACACTGGCGCCACCAGGCCCTCTGACCACCATCAGTAGACAATGCAGGTGAAGTGTCTTGCCCAAGGACACAACGACACTAAAAGTCGGAGCCGGGGCTTGAACCGTCAATCCTTCGATTTCAGGGCAAACTCCTACATCTGACGCCACTGTTGCCCTATAAACCTGTGGCTTTTTGCAATGCAGCAGGAGCAACAGAGATCCACTAACACCACAAAATATGGAGGTAGATTGGGGTGCTGTGGATATTGTTTTCTTCAGCAGGAGGGTGTTATGCCATTTCCCATGATCATACTTTTTGGACAGTGGGAACCAGTGTCCATATTTCATCCTGATAGGATGACCAGAGAAGAAAACGCAGCTTTGGTGAATAATAGCTGGGGGACTTCAGCAGCCCCCCCTTTTTCAGCCAAAGCAGCCACATGGAAGTCACAGAGGTGTGACCAACCACCACCCCCCCTCTGTGAGGACAGAGAAAACCACAGAGCACACAGGATTCTGCCTCTTTTGCCTCTTTTGCTCTTCTGCTCCAGCACCTCTCTCCTGGTCCCTTCGGCTCCTGCTCTCAAAGCTGGGGCCCACTGTGGCCCACAGTGGAGATGCGGGCCCCAGGGGAACCAGATCCCCAGAACCATCGAGGATAAGTCGAACCCTTCAGAACCAAACTGCTGCAAACAGAACTTTTGCAACACATTTCTCTTGAGTTTCAGAACTTACAGAGCCAAACTGGATGAGGAGCATGCCCTGGTGTGAGACTGAGAGGACCCCTGCTGTGAGACTGAGACAAAGAATCCCTGACTGCAGAGCTGCAAATGGATGAAACTCAAGCTTTCCAAATGGACATGGAAAAAGGTTTGCAGGTCTGGCATGATTAGGGACAGAACAAGCAATGTGTCTTTTGATGATGCTAATCATATCGTGTGTTTACTGCGGAGTAAAGACAACGCTAATTGATGCTAAAGAATGGACTGAATGCTACACTATGCTACAGGAATATGTGTTGAGCTGTTGCTAAAGCTTAGACAAGCTTTATTCACTAAGGATTTAAACACTGATGTAACATTAGTGTTCATGTGTTCCTCAGATGCTCTTTACATTTCCATTACCAAGTATGACCAAGAGTCATTTAGTGGAATCCTGATGTCTATTCGCTGCTAGCTATTTCAAAGAGGGTAAAGAATCATTTAGCTAAAGGTTATTGGTTCTTGATTAAGCAAATCATTCAATAGAACATTATTTGGCCAAATAATGTTTTATTCACCTCATGGATTTGCATTGTGAATTGGTCTGAAAACATTCCAATGTCCTTAAAATTAGTGAAAAGCTAATTTGATCATATCCCAAATTCTTCCAGATAAACTTTGGTTTCAAACACAGAATCCATCTTAAACTGTAATATGGTTTTCAACCGTTTTCCCCTTCCTCTTTGTACATAGTAGTTAGTTTAGTTTAGTTGAGTTTTACTAGTCTTAGTTGAGAGTGTTAAACTGAAATATGTTTGACTTGGAGCTGAATGATTTCTGTTAATAAAATCTTATATTTTGAACAGAAGTTGTGGTGAATTTATTCCATGTATGTGCAGAGATAACTGTTTGACCATGATTAGTGCTTGAATCACTCTTTCATCTATTGTTCTAACACACAGTTAGTAGGACTGTGTGTCATAAACAGTATATAACAGCTGAAATAATATCTGATTAAATAAGATATTTTACCACCCCTACAGGGGAGGGCAATAAACATCTTAAAGTATCAGAAACATAAATTCCCAGCGGGCTGGGAATAGAATTTAACTATAGAATCACAACAAGGGTAAGGATATCGGCTAGGAGTTCTCTGGGAGATGGATTTAGTTACAGTAAACAGGCTATCCCTGGGAGACAACCAGTTTATGTCTTCCAAATATTTTAGACCTACAGTATTCAGAGGTTTATATATCAAAATAATGACTCAAACATACAACCAGAGCTACTATGTAGTTGATGTATTGTCAGGACATTACAGCAATGTTCTAGACAAAAATGCAAGTAGTGGAACAATATATAAAGGTTTATCTGCAGAGATGGATGGACAGCTAAGCACTGACTACTATTTAGCAACAATGTCAGTAACTAGCAGCATCAATGCTAAAGGTTGTCCGTTACCAGTTAACACAAAGATGTGTTTATCTGTAATGCTACATTCACACCAAATGCAATTAGGGCTGCAGAAGCGGTCGGTGTAGGTGCAAAGTCTATGATTGATGTACATCAAGGCACATCACAAGGTCCTAAAGCACATCTCCAGCAGCAGGAGGAGCGCATCTTAATGCATCTGAGCAGCTGAAACAGCACCTTATAAATATTCGAGCATCTGAGGCACGTGTCGCACTCCACAAGCAGCTGATGCTGGAGTTGGAAAATTCAAAGTTTTGCTGCTTCAATGGGGCATTAGTATTGTTAGTATTGTTTTAGTAAACAAATTAACCAAACTATTAGTACAATACATATTTTCATAGGAGAGCCATGTCAGCATCACAGGCCTATAGAATAATAGATTTAATAGATAATAATAGATTTATTACAACTAGACATCAGCAACAGAAAGAGGAAACACAGCTGATATTTTGTATCGGGCCAAAAATACAGTTAGTCATAAAAACATGATAATATTCTGCCATCGTGCTATTGGTTTTAGGCTCCAGGCAACTGCTGTGCAGTATTGTCTTTTTCATTGCTAGGATAATCTTTACTCTATATAGGAGAGAACTATGTTAGTAAAATACTTTTTTTTTTTTAAGAAATATTTTTATTGAATTTTATAACATAACAAAAAAAAGCAAGTGATGGTGATACACTTAACACAGATTCTCATTAAATAACTTGGTCCCCAAAACAAACAAACATAGATAAACAATAATGAACAATGCGAAAAAGAAAGAAAAAAAAAATAATGAATAAAGGAAAAAATAAAAAATAAAAATAATAATAATAATAATAAAACCCAGCCATCTCAGCACAGTTCTCTTAATGTCCTTTGTAACGTTTTAGAAACTCGGTCAACGGTGACCATGTCTTTTCAAATTTTGCTCCTTTTCCTCTGACAATATAAGTGAGTCGCTCCAGAGCCATACACGATGTCATCTCCTTCACCCACATGTGATTTGATGGTATATCCATTTTTTTCCAGTATAGAGATATTAATCTCCTGGCCTGCACGAGTCCAAAGTCAATCAGTTTTAACTGTCTGGAATTAAAGGCACAGTTCTCTGGATAAATACCCAAAACACACATTTTGGCCTCAGCAGGTACATTCACTCCAACAATCTCTGACAAAGTTTGCGTAACCAAGTTCCAATATTGTTGTAACTTTGGACACTCCCATACACAGTGAAAGAGAGTACCCTTTCCTATGAGGTGCCCCCAGGGACATAAATCAGAATTACCTTGCATATACACATATCAAATTAAACTCTTCCATATAATATACTGAAACACATGCATAAACACTAGTGAAAAGCTTTCACATAAACTAGTGAAAACATTTACCTCTCATATAACCTACTCAAAAGCTCTCATACAAAGTAGTGAGAACTGTTCATATAAACTGGTGAAAAGCTTTACCTTTCATATACACTACTAGAAAGCTCTCATATACACTATTAGAAAGTTCTCATACACACTACTAGAAAGCTTTCATATACACTACTAGAATGCTTTCATATACACTACTAGAAAGCTTTCATATACACTACTAGAATGCTCTCATATACACTACTAGAATGCTCTAATATACACTACTAGAAAGCTCTCATATACACTACTAGAATGCTCTCATACACACTACTAGAAAGCTCTCATACGCACTACTAGAATGCTCTCATACGCACTACTAGAATGCTCTCATACGCACTACTAAAAAGCTCTCATACGCACTACTAGAATGCTCTCATATACACTACTAGAAAGCTCTCATATACACTACTAGAATGCTCTCATACGCACTACTAGAAAGCTCTCATACGCACTCCTAGAATGCTCTCATACGCACTACTAAAAAGCTCTCATACGCACTACTAGAATGCTCTCATATACACTAGTAGAAAGCTCTCATATACACTAGTAGAAAGCTTTCATATACACTAGTAGAAAGCTCTCATATACACTAGTAGAAAGCTCTCATATACACTAGTAGAAAGCTCTCATATACACTTGTAGAAAGCTTTCATATACACTAGTAGAAAGCTCTCATATACACTAGTAGAAAGCTCTCATATACACTACTAGAATGCTCTCATATACGCTACTAGAACACTCTCATATACACTAGTAGAACGCTCTCATATACACTAGTAGAAAGCTCTCATATACACTTGTAGAAAGCTTTCACACATACTACTGAAATACTTTTACATACACTGCTCAAATATTTGCGGATTTCAGTTGAATCTGTTTTTATGAGAGCTGGGACACCATGCGCTTTCATCTGATCCTAGTTGCGTTGCAGATTCAATTGTTCGTTTTGAATACTGCGAGCAATGAAGATGTTGCAAATTTTTCTAGGAGTGTCCTGCTTTGCATTGAGTCTTTACAGAGCGAGGACGCCACCAGTTTTTCCCAGGAAAGACTGTATAGACAGCTTGAGGATCATACACGATCATTGTCATCATTCATTGCTGCCATGTCTAGATATGATCCTAATAATAGAGACATTATTAACACACTTCAGTTGCTGTTTACATGTTTTCAAAATCTGCTGAGTGAATATGCTACCAGACTACATTCAAGTAATTCAACCAACAGTTTTGTACCACCAACAACCTCCACAGGCCACCGAGGACGCCCCAGATACAATATAGTCGCCAGACAGATTTCTCATTGTGTATCCATTGGGATGACTTGGCAAAGGATTTCATCATGTTTTGGAATCAGTCGAAGAACTCTATACAGACACAGACAAAGCCTTGGAATAGACTCTCCAGAATACGCCTTTCTGTCGAATCAAGAACTTGATCGAATTATCACTAACATACTCCAGACTACTCCAAATGCCGGTGAAACATATGTACTTGGAAGCCTCAGATCACGTGGCATAAGAGTACAGCATTGGCGAGTCAGAGAGAGCTTGCATCAATTGGATCCCATCGGCAGATCATTGAGACGGCGTCATGCAATAATAAGGAGGATATACAGTGTTCAGGGCCCCAATCAACTATGGTAAATTTTAACAATTTTGATATCTGTTAATTTAGTATCCAAATGATGCATGTACATGGGTTATTAAAATGATTTTAATCTTTCAACAGGCATTTTGATGGAAACCATAAGCTTGTTAGGTGGCGGATGGTTCTTCATGGCTGCATGGATGGCTTCAGTAGGACTATAATATATTTACGCTGCTTAACAAATAATAGAGCTTCAAGTGTTCTGTCTTTGTTCTTGGAAGGAGTTGAGAACTTTGGAATACCTTTGAGAGTCAGATGTGACCATGGTATGGAAAATGTACTTGTTGCTCGTTTTATGCTGGAAAGAAGGGGGTTAAACAGTGTAATTACCGGTGTTTCAGTACACAATCAGAGAATTGAGAGACTATGGGCTGAACTTAATAGAGTTGTTTCTAGACACTTTATAAACATTTTAAATTTTATGGAGGAACAAGGTATATTAGATTCATTAAATGAACATCATCTTTTTTGCCTGCATTATGTTTATTTACCAAGAATTGAACATGCAATTTCAGAATTTATTAATCAGTGGAACAATCATGGCCTCTCCACACAGGGTGGTCAGACGCCACTACAGCTCTGGCATACAGGTATCATAAGTAACATTGGAATCCAACCTGTTATAAATGACATTTTTAACAATGACCATTATGGCATTGACCAACACAGGCCATTACCTGAGATTCAAACAAACAACAATGTTATTGTTCCAGATATTAATGCGGTCATTAATGAAACCAGGATGAACATTGTTCAACGTGTGAATCCCCTTGAAAATGATGAAAACCATGGAATAGATATTTTCTCTTCCCTTGTTCACTTTATGCAGTGAGTTGTTTTGTCCTGTGAAACATATTGTAAAATACAATGTATAAAAGTAGAAATAAATGAGGTTTATAAACAAACTTTACTAAAACCATTATTTTAAAGAATGCATCATCAGAAAAATTCTTGATGAATGAGACCAAGTAACAAAATTAAAAACTGAATGTCTGGCATTAGACATATCATATTGGCCTCATTATTTCAACTTTTTTTTTTTACTAACATTACACAAAACAGCAGGTGTCGAACAATATGGTTGTCACATGTTAGATGTGAAACACAAATTTCAGGGTTTTATCTGGCAGAAAAAAATGAACAAGAAAGTAAGTGGAGCCAGTTACATGTTCAAAAGATGTGCTTTTGTGTCTGAATTTAACAACAAACATTACATTAAAAGAAAAACAGAAAACATACTTTAGTCATTTTCGTGTTTAAATATATTTATTGAATTTTTTTGCAAGAAAATACAAAACAATAAAGAACCCCAATATCCCACCCACCCCAGCTGTCACCATGAAAGCAATACATTGCACTGACATGCCAGATCACAGAGAGAAATTGTACGTTCCAAAATAAATACAGATACAGTACGAAAGTAAAAATTAAGAAATAAAAGACAGCCATCAAGGACTATACCAATGTTGCTGGGTTATCAAAAAATATAAAAAAGGGTTTCCAGACCTTTAAAAATTTCTGTTCAGAACCACGTAGCGAATATCTGATTTTTTCAAGTTTGAGGTTCAATAAGACCTCTTTAATCCAGTGAGACAGTGACGGTGGTAGAGAGTCTTTCCACTTTAAAAGGATAAGACGACGTGCCAGTAGAGTAGAAAAAGCTATCACTTTGTGACCACCGACTGGGAGTCGAGTCCCACCCGGGAGTACTCCCTCAGAAGTTACCCTAAATAGTGCGATTAGAGGATTAAGGGGAATCTCAACACCCAGAACAGTAGATAATGCCTCAAATACACCTTTCCAAAATCCCTCCAAACTGGAGCAAGTCCAAAACATATGAAGCAGAGTGGCCTCACCTCTCTTGCACCGGTCACATGTAGCATCCGTTTGTGGATACATTTTTGCCAATTTAGATTTTGACATGTGTACTCTGTGAACAACTTTAAACTGGATTAGCGAGTGGCGCGCACACATGGACGAGGAGTTGACACGTTTTAATATATTGGCCCATAGATTATCATCAATAGGTGTCTGGAGGTCTATGGCCCAAGACTTCTGTATTTTGGAGTCACATAAGGACACACAATCTAATTGTTTAGCTATAAAGGAAATTGCCCCTTTCTTCTTAATTCCAAAGTTAAGAATATGATCCAGTATACCTTTTGTGGGTTTGTGCGGAAACTCTGAATTTGTCTCCTTCACGTATTGTCTGACCTGTAGGTATCTAAGAAAGCCAGACGCAGGCAGTGAGAATTTCTGAGAGAGCTGTGCAAAAGAGGCAAAAACCCCCTCTAATACTTTCGTCATTTTAATCCTCCACCCATCAACGTAAGGCTACCATGTGTTACTGTGCGCAGTTACTAAAGGAGAGTTTGAAAGTATTTTCAGTACACAATGGCGAACATATTAACCACTGGCATAGCATGTTTATGCCCTACCGAAACCATAAGTATTTCCTAACGCAAAGTCAAATTTCTCTTTGAACACCTGATATGATGTGTGTAGTGGCAATTTGATTGAGTTGATACATGTGTTTGCCATTGGAAAGGGTGAAGAAAAGTCATCATCATCTTTGTGAATGAAGTGGACAGAAGGAGTTGGAGAGGAGCCAATAGGTGGCACCACTGATGCTCCTGTTGCAAAGGCCAATATCTTCTGGAGTTTGGAAGGCCCTTCCTCTTCTTACAAATGAAGAGAAAAAAAAAACATGAGGTCACAGCGTGTAGAGCGAGCAAGTTCATTTAAAAGAATGTACAGTTCTGTTTTTTAAAAATGATGTTAGATAATGTTGCTGTGGTGGTGTCTGATTACAGTTGTCAATGGTGAAAGAGTTAGTAAGAGTTTCAGTGAATGTGACATTTTAAGGTATTAAATAACTTATGTTCTAAGGCACATAAAAAGACCAAAATTATTTCTGTGGAGCCTTTTGAAGAAATGAGAATCAACTGCTGCTCTGTGCTTAATTGTGACAGAATAGATCATAAAGCAAGAATGAATGGACAATGTTAAATTTCTTATTCTATGTAATTTACCTTCAGCATCTTGAACATAGTCTCTCCAAAATGTAACAACTATCTCTTCAGCAGCTCTGTTGTTGCTCCCATCTGGAGACAAACTAATCCTGAAGAGATCATCCAGCTGGTCTGCATTTACTTTGCATGGTTCATAGCAGAAAAGTGACCGAAAACTGTCCGGATATCGCTGAATTTTCTCCAAAACCCCAAGGGTTTTGAGTCCCTCACAAAATCTGTAAACAGGGAACAAGATAAATTGGATCACTTTATGACCTTTCCAAAAAATGTTACTTTTCAATTTATTATAAAAGACATTCAATGTGCTTTTATATTAGTTAGGTTTATTGATGTGAACAAATCGCCTCTAACTAAAATGTATTAGCTTTATTACGACTACCTGTGTGTCAGTTATCACAATACCTATGAAATGGACCTTGAATCCTGTGGATCACCTGGAACATGACAATATCGTGCACCAACAGGTCCCGGTCTCCTATTGACTGCATTGTTCTTAGACATCCTGCATTGGCCAAGTAGTCAATCAGAGGTGCCTTTGCTTTCTCAAGGTCTTCCAGATACCTAGTATCGTGAGGAGTAGCAGAATCAATTGTCATTAAGATTACTTATCACTCAGATAATTTTGGAGAAGAAAAATATTTGAAGTTCCTTAAATTAGCTGATGTCTTTAAATACATCAGTTAAAATAAGATACTACTATACAATCCTGAAATATTGTTAGCAGGGTATTGCACTTTAACTGGACACTATTAATGTAATAGAAAGGTCGATTCTGGAAACCATATGCTTTTAAAAAAAACAGAACAAGACAGATTACATTTTGAAAATGCACACAAGGGTAAAGACCATCATTAATGTTAGAAATGTCCTGTGGTTAGATGAAACTACAGTTGTGTCAGTATCCCACAATGATAAAATATTAATAAATTATAAATATGATTTTAGCAGGGTTTTCTGTTGGAGAAAATTCTGGTTCTTACAGATGAGTATAATTATGTCCTGGCCCCTAAGACCATTAAAATCAAATTACATAATTTGTCAAGTTTTAATTCCAATTCAATTTTAGGCCAGTGAAAATTTCAGATGAACTTACCTTTTGGACCTTTTCAAGAAGCTCTGTATCAGCTATGTCTTCTAAAACGGGATTGGCAGAACCGTAAGCCAGAAGAGAAAACAACGTTGGGGAGAGAAAGTTTGGTGGTGGACCACCATGAACCAAGCTTACAGCCATGGCCCTTCCAACTTCATAGTACCCATCATCTCTTAAGGCTGCAAAATAAACAAAAGAAAATATTTTAAAATAACAAAACACCTTTAAATAAGTAAATAATTATTCTGATACTTCAACTGTAGAGTCACTACCAGAACTGTTAAGAGCAAGGGTTTTGCTGTTTTCTTTGCCCTCAAACATAGGGGAAGAAGCAATAGTCTCAATTAGCAGCCTCAAAAACTCCCTTCGTGGGCCACCTAAATCAACTCCCTCTTCACGTCCTCCCATGTCATCAGAGAATTTGACACACATCATAGATGTTGGGTTGTACGATCCTCTTCGGAATCCCCGCAAGGCTCCTTCCCAGACAGCAGAGCGATTTATGTTGAATTTGGACTGCTGCGCTGTATTAATTTTGCTTGAAAGATCTTGGAGAATTTCTTGAACTGGAACATTTTTTACACTAAAAACAACATACAAATACACAAATGAAAATATGCTTATCTTATGAGTAACAACTTAAGTCATGTAAACATTTAAGTTCTAACAAACTCACTAGAAGGGGTGAAAATATACAAATAAATTTTCTTTTTAAGTTGTGTTATTATTATTATTATTATTATTATTTTCCTGATCAAAACTATACTCGGAGCTTTGCTTTGATTTATTCATGCATGTTTGAGAAATCCTTGAAATTTCTGTGGCAACCATTCTGGGGTGCCTAAATGTTTGCTAACACAAAGCTCCATGTTGAAAAAAATGTCATTCTTGGAGCTTGAGTACCCAGCTGACCCTATACACCTTTCCTACTCAGCTATTCAGAATAGCGCTACAGCAATTAGCAAACACATATTGGAACTGCTCATCTCCTGAGTTCATTACAAGAGTTAATTCTCTGAGCAATGATCTTAAAAATGTTTGTAAATGGCATAATGGATAATCATTGTTGTGATGTGGTGTTGAAGGAGGACGGTTGGAAAGGGTAGGTGAGTCTTAAAAAAACAGAGCCCAATTTCAAGGTGTTGGATATGGCCATGATAGAAAGACAAATTTCTTCTAAGTCATGTTTGATATCTACCGCTTTTTCGTAACTACTGAAGGGAACATACTTAATGGATTTTGCTAGAAAATAGTACAATGTGTCTGGGGAATACATAATGTGCCCCTTTAAGCTGGGGAGTAGTGGCACTCTGGGTCTCTGAGCAAGACCCTTAACCAGCAGCCTACTGCTTTCCCAAGGGTGATGGGTTAAAAGCAGAGAAGAAATTTCGTCGTAATGTATGTTGCAATGACTATAAAGATGATATTACTATTAAGATATGGATATAACAGTAAAAATAGACATTTTACACTACACCAAACTCTGTTTTCATTATTTATCTTGAAAGTTTTTTTTTCTTATCTAAATCTGAGTACTCACTGTTGACTTTCCATACTGGCCATTATTGCTAAGTTCAACTCCTCATCTGTAGATTCATCAGAGATAGATGCCACAAGAGTTAAATACGAGGAATAGTCTTCATCATAGACTTTTGTGGTCAGATTTCTATCATTTTGTCCAAGGTTATTTCCATCATGATTGCTACAGCCAGGTGTGGCATCAGATCTATCTCCTCCAAGGACAGAAATGATGGTGACATCTTCATCATTGCTGCATGTTCCCAGCTTGCCATCTTGCTCATGACTTATCTGGGTTTCCGGCAAATCCACCTCAATACAGTCACCTTGGCCAGTGGTGGTACATGTGTTCAAGGGTTCATTTTCTTCATCAGAGTCAGACTATAAAATCTTTTCATGATCTTTTCATGATATCTTTTCATGATTTCTGCTCTTACCAGTATGTAACGTTCAATGAAAAAAATAAACCAACGAACCAGAAGAGTTTTTGATGGCCTCACATACAAGGCTTTGGTTTTGAAAACCTTGTGTAACAGCACCCCATTAAGTTCTTGACCCTCCTGGAGTTTGGGGGCTACAAGCTTACTGCCACAACCCATGAGAAACTCAAGGCTGCAAAGATGTAAATGTCATACAAAATATTTTCCATGTCATATTTATGCAAATAGTTGCTAATTATTGTTGTTGTGCAAAAATAATGTCCTGCAGATAATGAATAGATGGTTAACTAGAACTGGAGTTATAGTTAATTATTATCCTATTCAACATCGAAGGCAAAATCAATTTAGTGTTCTTAGGTGGATAATTATAGCCCTGAATTATCTACTTACCGGTTGTTGATCCACAACTGGAGGGTTCCGGGACCGGCTGTTAAAATCCAGGTATCCACCAGTCTAGTGGTCCCGGTTAAGTTATCAGCAAAGCTATTAAATTATCAATAAAGAACCTTCTATCTCTGTTTATTCGCACTATTACCAAAAGGGGTTGGGTTTGCGCTGAGTGATAAACCCTCCGTTATATGAACGACCAAAACCACTACAGATTAACCAATGATGTCTTTATTCTAATAATTCAGGATTACAGAAATTTAACATCTATGCAAACAATACACACTACTAGAAAAATAAACACGAGGTAGATTAAATGACTAGTTCAAAAGAAAAATCGAAAATAAAGAATTAAACGAGATAGAAACAACGAAATAAAACTATTACTGGCGTCTGAAACCAACTTAAAATCAGCAAATGATTAAATGCATTAACAAAGCAGCAGGTGTAATGATAACAGTGCAATCGATCATGAACATTAATACATCCAGCTTAGTATTCGTAAATTATTGAACATGTATTAACAATAGCAGCGTTCAGCAAAAACCCCTTTTTGCCTGGCAATGTAGTGATGTGTGTGAATGGTTGTGGCTAAATGGGGACCACCCCCCTTTGTTCTCCACGCGGTGAGGGGAACAAAGAGAAATGGAGGGGGGCGACCTGTAATCAAGATGGCGGCGACTACGGGGACCCCACGTGGCTGAATGTGATAACTTTATCTCTATCTCAAAGCAGAAACAACGAAGAGGACAGGAAAAGGCAAGAAAGAAAGTAAAGGAGCACACACTTATTTTAACCAAATAAACAAACCCTTAATCAGCACAGATAAAAAAAAGGAACATCAGCATTAATTCAAAACCCTAAACTGCCTTTCTCTCGCCTGAGCACAGCAATCCTGATGCATCAAAAGGAAAGTAAATTGATTTTACTGTGAGATGCGTCGTCAAGGGAGGTTGGCGTTTCCACAGCAACCGCAGCTTGGTTTCTGTCGGACAGAGGTTCTCTGCCACCGGTCCGCCCCTCGGGAAAGTTCAGTCAGCTCGGGCCGCAGCAGAGGGGTTGATCTGCTCACGAGTTGGAAAGGAGGGATTTTAGGAGGTGATCTTAGGAGGTGGTCGGCAAAAGAGCGTCCTCTCAGCCGATTCGTCCAAGGAAGGGGAGAACGAAACTCCGCGGTCAGCTTCAAAGGCTTCTGTCTCCCAGTCAGCGCAGCCGCTATGCACGATGGAACACTGCGATCCGTGACTTTTGACGCAGGAAAACGAAAGCTACTTCCAGTCAGCTTTCTTCTGCTATTTCACGTGAAAGGGGGCCTCTCCTGACGGGCTGCAAACCCCGGGAAAAAGAGAGAGAAAGTCTTCTCGAGCCGGCTTTTAAACCATGTGTGACACGGGAGCACTTCCTGTGGAAGTAACGGCTGATTTGTCTGTGCCATGAGTGACATGGTGGAACTTCCTGTTGGGGTATTCGGCTGACTGGTCCATTTGAGGTGGCCGCCTCCTGCAGTGGGCCGGGTCTTCTTTGTTCTTGTTTTGGAGGGAATCCTTTGTTCTCCCTTGTGGAGAAGAGAAGGGGGATGGGTTCCAGGTGGCTAACAAGGGGGAGGGTTCCAGATGGCTCACCCCACTGATTTAGCTCCATTTTGGCAATATATCCCAACATATTCCCCCCTTTTAGCTTTGAAGATTGGGTATCCGTCTCAGTCTTTAAAGCTAACCAAGTTCATTAATCCATATTGCCAACAAGGTTGCGTTTAGGTGTCCAATGTGCAGTTGGCCGTTCGTTAGAGGTGGGTGCTAGCTCAGGGAGAGGAGGCAGGTGCTCGGCGAGTGTATTTCTAGCTAGCTAACTAACCTCATTGCAATGTTACCAAACATTGAGACACAGACATCTGTTGTACATTTACCGCACTTCTAGCATTCTTGGTTCAGCGTTTATGCTTAAACAAGAGAAGAAAGGAAAGAAGCATGCAAAGAGGACAGAGATAGGCGAAAAATGCTAACTATGATTCATAGCTCTTTCTTTCAGGGGTTCTGAATCTGTGGCGCTATGAATCCAGGGGAAAAGGGTGAAGGTGTCTAGTTTCTAGTTCTTATTCCCTAGCACGCTGTGTGCGCCGTCGCCGTTGTGATGATCCTGGGAATAAGAACCATGGAATGGACATTGCATAGCATCTGTGAGGTCATTTCTATGCATTGGATTGAGCTTGAGATTGATGTCAATATAGGCTAATATTGAAGAGGTTTAGGTAGACATGGGTTTATCTTTCAAAACTCATGTTTTACGCGGAATAAGCCTATACGCATTAGCTCTCTGAATGATAAGGAGATTTAGCATGAATCCAATTTCTAAGCTATCAGAGTTTACAAAAACTGGAACGACTAAGTTATAAGCCAGGTGAATTTGCAGGTGTTGCAGACATTAGAGACTTTTCAACTTTAAATCTTTACCAAAACTAGAAAGGGAATCAGATGCGTGTGATCACTCCTTTTAGCAAGCTGGTTCCAGATGAGTCGTCTAACCTGCATACATTTCTGACAACTTCAGAGGATATCATGTCAAGTTTTACCACTTCTGTTGGATCTATCCAGTGCATTATGCTCACAAATGGTTTATGGATATTATGACCTTGTAGTCCTTCCCTTAAGAAGGAGGCTAGTTCAAAAGCTGTGAAACTTTGAAATGTGGAAATGAAACCTTATGAGATCAGTGCATGTTTTCCTGTGTGTTAACATACACTCAATCTGACTGGTACTATGCACATGTGTTCTTAAGAATGGAGGTGCACTCCATTCCACGGACGGAAGTGGATTCTGGGTTGCATTTCATTCTGTCTACCTGCTCTATGGAGAAGAATGCTACAAATGCAAGATGTTGAGTATGTTCTATCGGGATGAGAACTGGTCCGATCCAGTTCCTCTGTAAATTGAGCCAAATGGATGTAACCCCCCTTTGCTTAGGAGGAGTTAGTTCCAAAAGGGCTGATGATGGGAGCTGACAGCAGGTGGAATGTTCTGAGGAACACCCCTGTTTGCTGTCAGATGATGGAGACGATTGACTGGTCACCTGCTGGGGAGCGTGTCGGGTTGCTTTGCAACCTCCCTGGACCTCTGCAGGTGAGCCATGGGCAGCAGCTGACCTGAACAGGCCAGAACCGGTTCTACAGTCTAAGTAAGATAAATTTTCTGATCTTACATCCTGAGAAATGTTACTGACTTCCTGGTAGGGATGTTTTTCTGAGTGGGGTTTGGTCTTCTCTGAAAAGAGGTGGACCAAAATAAAGGTTTTTCCTGATGAGGTCTGAGGGGATTCTGGGGGTTTACCACCTGGACCTTCCTTTTCCACCGAGTGTAATAAGGAAGCTGTGGAAGGTGAGTCCCTGCCTAGTCATGCGGATGGAGGCTTCGGGTCAGGTTTTCCTGGAGGATTTTCATGTCCAGCTGGGTTGTGAGAGGGGTTGTTGATCTGACGAACCATTTCTGTTAACAACCTACGGAGGTTAGCTTCCATCTCCTTCATGGCTGACTGCTCTAGCTTCTCATCCTGATCTCTCCCTTCACACTCCTTCTTAAGCTTCCTTTGGTCAGGCTGTCTGCTGTATCGGCTCATCTCTGATCTGTACCTCGTTTGGAACCCACTGTCTTCTGTATTCTGTGAACTTCTCCAATCCTGGAAAGCTCTCCTTTCTTGTGGGCCGGTATCACGGTTGCGTGATCCCTTTTTAAGTCTGGCTTTGGAAGGAGGAACCTCTTGTCCCTCCAACTCTAACTTTCTCCCTAATTCTGCCTGAACCTGCAGGACCCTGTGTTCGCTATCTGTACCCTTGCTGGTGCGGACGCGCGTTTCCCATGCAATCTGTGCATATTTCCTTATTTCTTGCATGGTGAGGGTTTTGGTTCGGCAGTACATGGTAACATCATATCTTATGCTGTCATGAAGATTGTGGAGGAAAAGATATTTTAGTGAGTGGTCTTCCTCCAACCCAGGGGCACTGTGCCCCTGAAAATATGCGGCTCACAACCGACGGTAATAATCTCTCGGCGATTCATTTCTTTTCTGTTGGATGCCGAGGGCACTGAACATCGCGGAGCCCGGATCAGTGTGCACTGAATATTCCTCTCTCAGTGCTTGACAAAGAGAGGAATAGCGGTCTCGAACAGAGGGCTGGAGGCTCTCTATGAACACATGCACGCTTCTCGAAGTAGTTTTCCAGATTAACTTTAACTTCTCCCGGGCGGAGGGATGGGGTAAGTCTAACAGACAACGTTCTACCTCTCTAAGGTAGTCTTCGATGGTGGATTCAGTGTTGCTGGGGTCAAAACGCTCTATGTCGTGGGCGAGGGATTCAAGTTGTCGCATCAGTAATCCCTGTTCTGGGACGGGGGCTGGACCATCTGAATCCTCATCTGAGAGCTCTAGCCAGCTACGGTCGCGGTAGGGTGGAAAGCTCTGCTCTGACCTCCTTGGAGGCAGGTGAGACCGCTCATGGTACACTGGTGAGCCTGTTGCTCCGTAGCCTTTAGGCCATGGCCGCGGCTCAGGGCGGTAACGCTCACCAGTGTCCCATGGTTGGCTGTACAGCTGCCTTTGTGGCAAGGGTGTGTCATAGCAGATCGTGCTTCGTGTTTGGTCTGACCTGCTTGTCGCTCTATAACTGGGGCCTGGCATGCTGCTCAGGTCCTGCATCCTCTGCGGTCTAAAGCTGCTCTGCTCTGTGGAACTACGCACTACACTACCGAACCTTCCCTGCTCCCTCATGCTAGCTCTCTGCTCTGTGGCTGCCAGAGGAGGATCTCCCCTGGTACCCCCTTCTATCCAACTTATCTAAAGCAGGAATGGGTTCACTTTCTTCTCTCTTAAGAGAACCTTCTGTTCTTTCTTCTGATCTTTCGTCTGACTCTTCGTCTGACCCTTCGTCTGACCCTTCATCCTGTAGGCAGGAAGCAACCCCCCTTTGCCGTTCTTCCAGGAAGTTAGAGGTCACCATCCTATTCTCTTCTGCTCTTCTTGCCCTTCCTTCAGCTTCCGCACGCAGTTCTTTGGCTTCTGCAGGCATTTCTTCAGCTTCTGCATGCCGTTTTTCAGCTTCTGCACGCAGTTTTTCGGCGTTCACGCGCAGTTCTGTTTCTAACTGGGACTTCCTCTGATACAGCAACGCAAGTTGACCAAGCACGTTTGCAATAAGCATCTCTTTCCCTGGCTTCTTAGTTGACTCCATTAGCTTCTCAATCTCCCTTTCACAAGCCTCTAGATCCAAACTACCAAGGGCTCTGTGTTCGTCTTCTGACAACGAAATCACTGAGCTTATTAAGTTCTGGGCTTCCATTTCGATGGAGGCCACAGCAGCTCCCACTGCTCGCTGATCCTGATCCCTATCCATTTGATTTGCTAGGGGGAGACACAAAGCAGGAAACGCAGCACACTGGCTACAAATCGCTAACCGTGTTAGCACTACACGCACTAAACAAACACGCTCCGTTTACTATAGGTTTGTTACCTATACGGCAGGTGTAGAACGTGCGGATAAAACAATACGCAGGTTGCTTTCAACTTGCGACCTCCTCTTTAATTTGACAGGTTGCCAATTTGCTTTTAAATCTGTGGGTTTCTAATGGTTTGATTCACTCACCTTTCAGTAAGTAAGATTGGCTGGTTCGAAAGTGTGTATATGTGTATAGATGTGTGCGTGTGTATGTATATATGTATAGAACACTGTTAACAAACAACTCTTACACACAAAATGGATAACGCAGTGTTAGAAAACCTGGCAGAAGTGGTAAAAGGTGGCAGCAGCTGCACAATTAAACCTGAGGTTTTGTTTCTCTATACCTGCAGTTTAAGTTTAACCACTCTCCAATCGTTAAAATACTGTTTGTCCACAGCACAGAAAGCAATAGTGAAACAGCATGAAAGAAAGAAAAAAAAAATAATTTAAGAAGAGAAAAAAAAAACAAGTCACTCCTTCTCTACACCATTCAGCTGCAATTTCAGAAGCCACCACCAGGGGGAGACAAGGTGCCTTCGCCTGGGAATTTTTCAAACTGTTGTTGCAATAACACGCTTACGCCACCAGATGGCGCCAAAGAGAGCACTACACAATTTGGATCTCAAAACACTGGAACCAGCTGAGTAATTGTAATTACATAAGCTACCACTAGGGGGAGATGACAATCTCTGCCAACGTGGCCTACACTGACCCAGTCGCTGTGACTTTAAGAACCCTTTTGTGCTGCACCAATCCACAATTTGATCTCACGGCTTCAGAATAGCAGCAACCAACAAACAACGCAGCTGAAGTCCCAACTCACCAATTCTCTATTGGATTATAAGTCTGAGATTCAATTAACTGGCCGTTAAATCTACTCAAACCCGCTGCAACACCACAAATACACCCGGTCTATTTTAGCAGTAGTAGCGCTTTTAGCTGTTTTTAATTTCTGGATGATTTATCTGTTATTCATATAACGGAAGTTTCAGTCTCAGGCCCACCCAGGGACGCCAATATGTTGTGCAAAAATAATGTCCTGCAGATAATGAATAGATGGTTAACTAGAACTGGAGTTATAGTTAATTATTATCCTATTCAACATCGAAGGCAAAATCAATTTAGTGTTCTTAGGTGGATAATTATAGCCCTGAATTATCTACTTACCGGTTGTTGATCCACAACTGGAGGGTTCCGGGACCGGCTGTTAAAATCCAGGTATCCACCAGTCTAGTGGTCCCGGTTAAGTTATCAGCAAAGCTATTAAATTATCAATAAAGAACCTTCTATCTCTGTTTACTATTACCAAAAGGGGTTGGGTTTGCGCTGAGTGATAAATCCTCCGTTATATGAACGACCAAAACCACTACATATTAACCAATGATGTCTTTATTCTAATAATTCAGGATTACAGAAATCTAACATCTATGCAAACACTACACACTACTAGAAAAATAAACACGAGGTAGATTAAATGACTAGTTCAAAAGAAAAATCGAAAATAAAGAATTAAACGAGATAGAAACAACGAAATAAAACTATTACTGGCGTCTGAAACCAACTTAAAATCAGCAAATGATTAAATGCATTAACAAAGCAGCAGGTGTAATGATAACAGTGCAATCGATCATGAACATTAATACATCCAGCTTAGTATTCGTAAATTATTGAACATGTATTAACAATAGCAGCGTTCAGCAAAAACCCCTTTTTGCCTGGCAATGAAGTGATGTGTGTGAATGGTTGTGGCTAAATGGGGACCACCCCCCTTTGTTCTCCACGCGGTGAAGGGAACAAAGAGAAATGGGGGGGGGGGCGACCTGTAATCAAGATGGCAGCGACCACGGGGACCCCATGTGGCTGAATGTGATAACTTTATCTCTATCTCAAAGCAGAAACAACGAAGAGGACAGGAAAAGCAAAGAAAGAAAGTAAAGGAGCACACACTTATTTTAACCAAATAAACAAACCCTTAATCAGCACAGATAAAAAAAGGAACATCAGCATTAATTCAAAACCCTAAACTGCCTTTCTCTCGCCTGAGCACAGCAATCCTGATGCATCAAAAGGAAAGTAAATTGATTTTACTGTGAGATGCGTCGTCGAGGGAGGTTGGCGTTTCCACAGCAACCGCAGCTTGGTTTCTGTCGGGCAGAGGTTCTCTGCCACCGGTCCGCCCCTCGGGAAAGTTCAGTCAGCTCGGGCCGCAGCAGAGGGGTTGATCTGCTAACAAGTTGGAAAGTAGGGATTTTAGGAGGTGATCTTAGGAGGTGGTCGGCAAAAGAGCGTCCTCTCAGCCGATTCGTCCAAGGAAGGGGAGAACGAAACTCCGCGGTCAGCTTCAAAGGCTTCTGTCTCCCAGTCAGCGCAGCCGCTATGCACGATGGAACACTGCGATCCGTGACTTTTGACGCAGGAAAACGAAAGCTACTTCCAGTCAGCTTTCTTCTGGTATTTCACGTGAAAGGGGGCCTCTCCTGACGGGCTGCAAACCCATGGAAAAAGAGAGAGAAAGTCTTCTCGAGCCGGCTTTTAAACCATGTGTGACATGGGAGCACTTCCTGTGGAAGTAACGGCTGATTTGTCTGTGCCATGAGTGACATGGTGGAACTTCCTGTTGGAGTATTCGGCTGACTGGTCCATTTGAGGTGGCCGCCTCCCGCAGTTGGCCGGGTCTTCTTTGTTCTTGTTTTGGAGGGAATCCTTTGTTCTCCCTTGTGGAGAAGAGAAGGGGGATGGGTTCCAGGTGGCTAACAAGGGGGAGGGTTCCAGATGGCTCACCCCACTGATTTAGCTCCGTTTTGGCAATATATCCCAACATTGTTAAAATGCAGACAAGTCATTCAATTTACAAAGCAAATATGTAAATGTGTCGAGTGCAAATAGAAAACAAGCCTTTACCTGACATCTTCTGGAATGCGTTCACCAAAACCAGCTCTGATCTGTTCCACAACAGTTTTGTAGTCCCAGGCTTTCTGAAATTCAAAAGCACTAAGGATATGCCCATGCTTGTGTAATCTCAGTTTTGACCCTTGGTTGCACACCAGTCCCCAAGATGGATTTGGAAGTAGTACAACATCCTTGTTGAAATGGTCAAAATACTGCGGTCTGGATCTGAAATTACATTTAAAATCAAATAGCAGCATGAAAAGCCAAACATCTTTCCCAATTCTGAAGAAAAAAACCCCAATATTTTCTGGCTTTGAATTCATATTGTTGCTGTTCATTTATAAGTTATTTTTCAAAGAATAATAATAAAAAAAAACAAAGTCATAAAATTTCTCACTTTCATTACACCTAGCTTTTTGTCTTGACAGATAAATAAATTATTGGGGTCCGTGTACCTTTTGTTAAATTTTTATTGATTATGTAAGCATTAAAAAAAATAATTCAGCGATTTTTTTGAACGATTTTCTACTTTATTCGCCCATCAAAAATCTCATGATTACAAAACGCCCTGTGACCTCATTTGATTTTTATATGGTTTGTGTGTCATTTTATGCATTATTCTGTTCCCCGTGTAAAGATCTGTCCCCTTGTGTTATCATACGGATTAATTCATAAAGATATCATGTATAATGTGAGGAATGAACGGCCCACAGCATGATTGTTTAATTCCTATGGGATACCATACAGGGTGTGAGTGTCAGGCTGAAATAGACTTTGACTCAACAACCTCAAACTTTGATGCATAACTATTTTCCTCTTAGAGCATGATTTATCAGAATAGTAAACTGACACTCGTCTGTTCAGGAAGCCTATTTTCGCAGGCAACAAAAAAAATAAAAAGAACAAGAAATAAGAACTGTATAAATAAAACACATTGTGTTTGAAAACAGTGGTGACTGACTAATATCCTTCAAATTAAAAGGAGCATAACATAAATCGGAAAAGACTTTGATTCACTTGGTTATTACAAAACAAAATTAAACTATGTAAAACAAAACAAAAAACAGAAAAACTCAAAGGGTCAAGACGATTAACTAAAAACCTCGACATCATTATGTGTTGTCATTTTACCGACAAAACAACAAGAAATGTTATGCTGAGAAGAGTGTTGAATCCCAGCCTTGTGGCGCACTCCGGATGCAGGGGAACTGATAGTCACAAGTAAATTATTTCACAAAACAAATCTTTGAATAAAATGAGGGCCGTTTGTAACAGTCTGATTGGTGACGTAAGGATGAGGTAAAAAAGAAAAGGGAAAAAAACGTTGATATATTGTCATTTTTAAATAACTTGTAATTTTCCACGTTTAAATGTATAATGAATTGTTTGTTTTTTATTCCCAATCAAACACCAATGGATCCAACATTACACGGAACATACGGGCCATTTTTTTTAAGCTAGCCCATGATCTTATCAGAAAATCACAAATTACCTTTTTTTCCTTGTCGTTGATCTCCATGTACCGAAGCACTGTTGAGCTTGATAGCGAGGGGCAGATTCCCTTCTGACTGTAGCTGCAGTTGGTAGAGGCATGCTACGCTGGCGGGATGGAAACAGAGATGCTAAGCGACTATCCACCGCGTCCGGAGCTGGAGTTATCGGTTGCTGTCCAAGCTTTGTAGCATTTGACAGGGTCCTGATAGTCTCCGTTGAAGCTAAAATATTGTTGAGTAATGCGACTGCTTCAGTCAGGTGTTCAGTGGGTCGCTGAGCAGACATCGATGGATTTAATATGGGGAAATATCGACAAGAGATAGCACAAATATGTGCGATGCTAACCCGCCACCGGTTCCTCTTTGTAGCATTGACAAAATCCAGAACAGGGTGTCCGTTGAAGCCAAAATAAAGCTGAGTAATGCCCCTGGTTCTGTGAGATGTTCAGCGGGTAGCTGAGCAATAATCAATAATTTATTTTTGTAAAATATCGGCTGGAGATTGCACAACACTACGAAGCTAGCCAGAACGACTTCTGTTTAAAACAAGTTCTGGTTCAATGACATTCCTTCCTGTTTCTTCTTCTTCGTGTATTACCTTCCTGTTTCACTGAAATGGCTTCCGTTTCAACTGAAATCCGCAAATATTTGACCAGTGTATGTAAAAGCATTTCAGTAGTATGTGTGAAAGCTTTCTACTAGTGTATATGAGAGCTTTCTACTAGTGTATATGAGAGTGTTCTAGTAGCGTATATGAAAGCATTCTAGTAGTGTATATGAAAGCTTTCTAGTAGTGTATATGAAAGCTTTCTACTAGTGTATATGAGAGCTTTCTACTAGTGTATATGAGAGCTTTCTACTAGTGTATATGAAAGCTTTCTACTAGTGTATATGAGAGCTTTCTACTAGTGTATATGAAAGCTTTCTACTAGTGTATATGAGAGCTTTCTACTAGTGTATATGAGAGCATTCTAGTAGTGCGTATGAGAGCTTTTTAGTAGTGCGTATGAGAGCATTCTAGTAGTGTGTATGAGAGCATTCTAGGAGTGCGTATGAGAGCTTTCTAGTAGTGTGTATGAGAGCATTCTAGTAGTGTATATGAGAGCTTTCTAGTAGTGTATATGAGAGCATTCTAGTAGTGCGTATGAGAGCTTTTTAGTAGTGCGTATGAGAGCATTCTAGTAGTGTGTATGAGAGCATTCTAGTAGTGTGTATGAGAGCTTTCTAGTAGTGTGTATGAGAGCATTCTAGTAGTGTATATGAGAGCTTTCTAGTAGTGTATATGAGAGCATTTTAGTAGTGTATATGAAAACTTTCTAGTAGTGTATATGAAAGCATTCTAGTAGTGTATATGAAAGCTTTCTAGTAGTGTGTATGAGAACTTTCTAATAGTGTGTATGAGAGCTTTCTAGTAGTGTATATGAAAGGTAAAGCTTTTCACCAGTTTATATGAACAGTTCTCACTACTTTGTATGAGAGCTTTTGAGTAGGTTATATGAGAGGTAAATGTTTTCACTAGTTTATGTGAAAGCTTTCCAGTAGTGTTTATGCACGTGTTTCAGTATATTATATGGAAGAGTTTAATTTGTTATGTGTATATGCAAGGTAATTCTGATTTATGTCCCTGGGGGCACCTCATACTTTCCAACCAAACATTTACAGCAGATATCTGGGATGTTAGGTGCCCAGCGATTCAATCTGACTGGAGTTATGTAAGTTCTCATTAACCACTTATACTGAAGGAGTTTCATGCTTGTATTGATTGATTGCTTTTGGGCCTTTACGCATGCAGTGTTCTGTTAGTAAACTACTTAAACAAAACATAAAAAAAATAGATTTTAATAGTTGTACATATTTGTAGTGTTATTCATTACACACATATATGTATATAGTATGCTCTCCCCTCTGATGCTTTCACTAGGTTGGGATGAGGTCTCAGCCTGGCCAGAGATATGAAACTTTCTGGCAGTGTAGCTGAAGATGATGAGGTTGCACCAGTAGGCTGCATCTATTTGTAGAGCATGCCTTTGTTTGTCTGTTAATTTACAAACAGTGCAGAAAACCTGCAAAGCTGGCTGGTCTGAGGCAGCTACTGCTGGGCATTCCCAATGACAGTGCACTACCGCTATATGGGGGGCCTGCGCACTGTAATGCTTAGGGTTATGTTTAAGGGAGGAGAGTGGTGGCAGACTCATAAGGACGGTCAAAAACAACCACAATGGTTCTGGGAATTCCATACTGTTGTCCTTTAATAAACACACTCTTCACAAACCTTACAAAGCCCGGTTGAACGGCTGCTATATTCTCAAACATAAAAAGTAAATTTAATTGTTGAATGTGTTGTGAATTGGCGCTATATAAATAAACTGAATTGAATTAAATTGAAAAATTAGCGGAGTCTAAAACCGTAAATTTACTAAAAAGTAGGGAACTATCGTGTCCTTCTGAGTCCTTGTATATGCATTGCATGTCTCCCAAGCTCCCTACAGAGAAGCAGTGGCGCATAGCAATACAAGAGTATCTTAAAGAGAAACTACAAGATCACAACTGTTGCAGCCCCCCCTACAGCGAAATAATATCCTAAGGCAGGATTGTAATCCTGATGAACTGACTGCACAGATGGTGTTTTGAGGTGTACTTTCTAACTTAAAAACATACAAAAATATATTGTTAACCACTTATCACACCAAATAGCAAAGCAACCCAGTCTCATGGGAAAATGTACCCCCACTACGTTGGTCCACACTGCAAAACGTAGTGGAGGTACATTAATGGCCATTTTTTTGTGGTACTGTTACGTTTGTTCTGCCCAAGGGCGTAGGAATATGTTTACAATTGGGGGGGACACTTGTCGGAAATCTGAGATTCGTAAATATTCAACAGAAACATATCTTAAGTACGCTACTTAAAAAAAAGGCTATTTAATCTTTTACTTTATTCCTTTATAAATGTGTTTGCAAAAATAATGCATTTAAAATTTACATAATGCATTTGTTCATAAGATGTGAGCATATCACCAAACAAAATGACTGGAGTCTTTTATTAAGCAAAGGGAGATGTCTTTCTAGGGCTTCAGCCCTTGGCATATTTAGTGTCCGCATACGCACTAGAAAATCAAAACAATTCAGTAGGCCACACAAGTGCAAAGTTTGATATGTTTTATTTTGTCAAACTTGCAATAATGGTCAAAAATGAATTTATATAGGTTGACTGACAGAGGGAGCTTACAGTGTGTTGAAGAATTATGGACAGGGCGCTTTGAAGCATCTGGTTCAAAAACGCATTCTGAACCTTTGGTAGAAATCCATCTATCCTTCCATTTTCTGTACACTCTGTCCCTTAGTGGGGTCGGGAGGTGCTGGTGCGGGGTCCACCCTAGACAGGTGGCCAGTCTGTCCAGACCTTTGGTAAAAATGGCGCCTTTAATTCCAATTTGCAGTACAGAACAGAGAAAACTACAGATTTGTCAATGTTGTGTTAATCTGTTTATAGTGTAAAAAGAGGAGCCAGCAGTTTATTTGAGGAAATAAAGATGCAGAAGTTAATTAGTTGGTTACTTAGTGGTTGTGCAGCAGTCCACTGCACGACCAATGCGGCCGCCGCTGCTAAGAATTAGAATTAATTCTCCCTGTGGTTAACTAACGATCAGGAGCGCGGCAGGTATAACATCTGTCCATTTCGGTGAATCAAAACCATGAAAAAAATAAAAAATCCTCGTAAAACGCACGCCCAGACCGGGCTAATTTCAACACAAGTTGTGTTAGGTGACTGTTACTCACACTGACGTTTCTCTTTAAAAAAAATCTGAGTAAGTCCTGCTGCTGTTTCAGCCTTTTAGTTGGTGGTGGCATTGTACTGAAATGAGATATAAAAAAAAATATATAAAAAAAACATTTTGGCTAGCGTGGCAAACGTCTAGAGAAAGTTAGCAGTTAAATATTGGATGAGTAATCAGCCCAAGACTACGGAAGAGGATTAGGGCCACTGGAGAAAAAAAAGTTAAGTGATTTTTACATTTTATTTCAGTTTAATACGGGAAAAAAGTCAGAATTCTGACTTTTATTTTCAGAATTAAGACTTTTTTTTTCTCAGAATTCTGACTTTTTTTCTCAGAATTTTGGATCTTAATGTAGATGGGCACCATGAAGGCAGAGATGTGGAGCACTCAGCTTCACTGACAAAGATGTGAGTTGTTTGAGAGAGCCAGTGACACATTGGTAGCCTGGGTGCCAGTCAGAACTTAGTCCCGCCCACAAGGTTTGAGTTCGGGGAAGTTCGGTCTGGCTCTGCTCCATAGTAGCTCGAGTATTATCGCCCACTGTCAGGCGATCCAATCAAATTGTCAGGGCGGACTTTATACGATGATGGACAGATGATCAAGAGTAATGTAATCAACCACGTGACCAAAGCGCGCTTGGGTGACAACAATAATGGCTGCCGCTGGAGAGTTTGGGTGAGTAGATTCTGCTATTAGGTCTGTTCTAGAAGATATCGACAGCAAATTAATTTTAAAAGAGGAACAGAGAAACGCGATCAAGTCTCATCTTCTTATTCTAGGCGTGAAACTGCCCGCTTTGATTTTTGTGGACAACAACTATGCCTCGCTTAACATACGTCACGCACTCCGTTGCTCTTATTGGTTGTAGATCTATCCAATTAAGTGCAGAGGCATTTTTTTCCCTGGTTCGTTCGAAACACGCCCCATAATCACAGCTCTATGGAGCAGTATCAGACTCATATTCTGACTAGAATTGAGTAGGACTACGTCAGGCTAACACATTGGTGGAAAATGACAGAATTAGGCAACTTTTTACGTGCCCGAGGGGTCCCCTCATTAATGGAGGAGCAGAAGGTCATTAAAACAAGAGAGCTAGTCTCTAAAAGAGACATGGCTATGGCTTGATGCTAACATGTTTGTTGTTAAACATACTTTTGTTATATTACATTTGTGTTGTGTTTTCCAAATAGTGTAGAAAATTAATGGTGGGTTTATAATGTTTACCTTTTATGAGCAGGACAGGAAGAAGAGAAGTGTAGCATTACCTCCAACTAGTTAAACTCATAATTATGAAGTTATTCAACAAATTCCTCAAGTAAAAAAGTGCAACTTTTATTTTTTATTTATTTATTTTTTTTTTTTACCAGATTTGTTGATTAATTTCAGAATTATGTATTCCTTCCAAATTTCCAAATCTGAAGAATTTTTTAAACCAATATCTACATTATTTAACATTTAGTTTGTTTTAGCAGTACTTCCTGTTATATTTCTTTATACGTATATTTTACATTTTCTTGCACAGCAAGCTCAGCAGATTTGAAATTGTGTGCTTGTGTAAACACAAGTAGTCAATCTTTACTCTAAACATATATTCTGGTTATTTTTTAGTTAGACCTTCTTGTTTTTATATATCTGTATAGTACCCCCGCCCCCCCCCCCCCCCCCCCCGCCCCCCAACCAAAAAAAACTGTAAATTGATTAGAAACATTAATCATCTGTCAGATTTCTGAGAAAAAAGTCAGAATTCTGAGATTA